GAGAAAATGGAAAGACATCCCTTGCTCCTGGGTAGGAAGAACCAATATAGTGAAAATGGCCATACTTCCAAAACTACTATATGGATTCAATGCAATGCCAATTGAAATTCCAACAATATATGTCTGGAACTAGAGAAAACAATCCAAAAATTCATTTGGAACCATAAGAGACCTAGAATAGGTAAAGCAATTCTAAGCAACAGAGACATGGCTGGGGGTATCAGAATCCCCAACTTGAAGCTCTACTACAAAGCTACTGTGATGAAATCAGCATGGTACTGGCAAAGAAACAGAACTGAGGATCAGTGGAATAGCTTAGAAGGTGCAGAACAACTCCAGACATGCTCAACCACCTCACCTTTGACAAAGGAGCCAACCACCCTCATCGGAGGAAAGATAGCCTATTTAATAAATGGTGTTGGAAAAACTGGATTTCAACCTGCCAAAGATTGAAACTAGACCCATACCTATCACCATGCACTAAACTAAGATTGAAGTGGATTAAAGATATATATATATTAAGACAGAAACACTAAACTTGCTGGAAAATAAGTTAGGTGGAAGTCTTGAAGACATTGGCATAGGAAAAGACTTCATGAAAAAAACCTCAGCAGCATGGGAACTAGCAGAAAGAATCAACAACTGGGATCTCATCTTATTAAAAAGCTTCTGCATTGGAAAAGAAACCATGAAAAGAGCTAACAGACAACCTAAAGTATGGGAAAAATTTTTTAGCTCTGTACCTCAGACAAAGGACTACTATCTAGAATATATAAAGAATTGAAAAAAGTCAGACCCCCCAAATTCAAATACCCAGTTCCAAAATGGGCATCTGAAATGAACAGACATTTCTCAGGCAAGGAAGTAAAAGCAGCAAACAAGTATATGAAAAAAATGTTCAACATCACTGGTCATTCGAGAGATGCAGAGGAAAACAACACTGAGATTTCATCTCATCTGAGAAAGAATGGCTGCTATCAAGAAATCAACAAATAACAAATGCTGGCGGGGGTGTGGAGAGAAAAGAACCCTTCTCCATTGCTGGTGGGAGTGCAGACTGGTACAACCACTGTGGAAGTCAGTATGGAGATACCTCAAAGCACTAGGGCTAGAGGTCCCATTTGACCCAGCTATTCCTCTGCTGGGTATCTTCCCCAAAGAATTAAAAGAATCATACCACAGTGATATATGTGTGCCCATGTTCATAGCGGCACAGTTTGTAATAGCTAAAGCTTGGAAGCAGCCCAAGTGCCCATCAACTGGAAATTGGACAAAGAAAAGTGGCTTTTTTATAAAATGGAGTACTACTTGGCCTTAAAGAATGAAAAACTAGAGTCATTTATAGCTAAATGGATGTATATCAAGGCCATACTCTTAAGTGAAATAAATAGGACACACGTGTAAATACTGAATAGTTTCTCTACTGTGAGAAATCGAAAGTGTAAATAAGGATGAAAATGATTAAAATGAATAATTGATAATTTGAACTAGGAAAAGGTCCCAAAGTGGAGGAGTGGTGGGAAGGGAAGGGAAAAGAGAAGAAAGGAAAGGAAAAATAATGAGAAAGAAAAAAAAAAAGGAAACAAAGTCTATGTAAATAGGGAAGGGTGGAGGGGATGAAGGGTGCACAGGGAATTGGGAAAAAATAAGAACCAAGACATGTCATGTACAGGTACAAGCACCCAATGATAAATGGAAATGAATTGCACACCTAAAATTACCAATAAAAGACCTAAAAATAAATAAATAAATAAATAAATAAATTTAAAGCACATAAGTAAATCAAAAAGCAGCCCAAATATCTATGAATGATGATGCATAGTTTTCCCTTTTGTGTTTTGTTTGTCTGTTTGTTATCCTCCTTTGACAGATAAGGAAACAGGTCTCAAAGAACATACTTAACTAAATGATCAAGGTCACACATCCAAAACCGCAAGTCAGGTTTTCGCTCAGGACTATTAGATTCTAAGGCCTCTTGACCACTACACAGGGAAGCACAAACCATGCTGCCACCAAAATGAAACAATGTGCTTAATGCAGTCATTGAGAAGATTAAAATGGAGTAAAGCCTGGCAGCGAAATACAGCCTTCCCAGGACCTGGAACCGGGTCATCCGGAATTAACAATTGGGTGAAGAAAAAAGAAGCGGATCTTCCGGGGTCAGGAGGGAGCTGTCCGGAAAACTGGAAACAAGAGCCAAGTTGGAGAAACTGAGCACAGTGCAGAGAAAAGAATGAAGCCATCTGGAAAGCTCACTCTGGCTCCTGGGGAGGGGACCTCTGTGCTGCCACAAGGAGAGCCCAGAGACGGGCGGCAGCCCCAGGGAGAAACAGTGGACGAGGCGGGCAGTGCTAGCCCTTGGGGATGCAGCATGAACCAGCAAGGATGCACAGTCCCAGGCCAGGAGGGTGGCCAACAGCGTCCCCTGGCCTTATTCCCCAGCACAGCAATCTGCAGAAGGGTGCCTGGGGTACCCCAGTTCCCTCGCACATGCGTCCTCCACACGCTGATCTGGATGCCCAGGGGAACCATGGCCCGGCGTCCTCCTGACACTCAGTGGTGCCTGCCCCTGCCCTCTGCCCAATCCCTGCTCTCAGCAACTGGGCCCAGCCACCCGCGGTATCCACGCGAGACTTCAGAGGGTGGTCCTCAGAGGCCGGGCCAAGACATCCCGACAGCCACAGGCTGAGGATGCCGCTCGAGTGCTACCTGCTGTCCGCGCCAGGACGAACTGGGCAGGAAGAGGCGGGCACCGTCCCTTCCGATGGCTCCATGAGTCCCCTGCTCCCCACCCCAGCCTGAGCAGGGTCCAGCGAGCGGCTCTGCTGTTCTCCTGTGGCCCCGCAGCCAGCTCCGGAGAAGGCTGCTGGGGCGGGGGGCAGGGCCCCTCCCGGGCAGGGAGGGTCTGCAGTGCCTTCATTTTGGTGTGGGGGCGGCGGGCCGAGGTGTGGAACATCGACAGAATCAGGGCGCCCAGGCCGGAGCGCCCCGCCGTCCCCGCTGCACCCGGCTCTGCCGCCTGGTGGGAACCTGCGCCAGTCGGGGCGCTCTTACAGCCGGGGCACTGTCCGTGGGGCCAGCCCGCGCCAGGGGTCGGGGGTCCTGCAGCTCCTCCGGTGAGCCCAGGGCCCGGACACTCCCCGTGGTCACAGCGCGGCTCGCGCGCCCCCTGCTGGTTCCCGTGCGTCCTCCAGGGCCCAGGTCCGCACTCGGCCTGCCCGCCCAAACTGCAGGGGACGGAGCCGCGACAGTGAGCGTGGGCTGCGTGCGCACCTGTGCAAGAGACACGGTCCACACTCGAGGCCCGTCCAGCGCGCCCAAGCCTTCAGCGATGTCCTGTCTGCAGCGGTGCCCCCGTCAACCCGGTGGAAACCGGGTCGGGTCCGCAGCAGGCTGGGTCGGCTTAGCAGGCCCTCCCCAAACCCCGCCGGGAACAGATGCCCTGTCTTGTGCGGGTGGGAGGCCGGTGCTGGCCTTGTAGGCAGGAGATGGGGCCAGGACCCTTAGGGGACGGGGCGGGTGCGCTTTCCCTTAGGGCAGGGAGGGTTTTCGGGAGCCCTGTAGGGGGCGTGGGCCCGGGTCCGGGGCTGTGCGTGGCGCCCCTCGTCCCCGGGTGAGGCGCCCTGGGTTGCCCCGAGCTCGGTGCCCCCACAGCAGTCCCCGCTCCATGCACAGCAGCTTCAGCACTCGAGTGGCTGCGGATCCGAGCCAGGCCCCCGGCCAGGCGGGACCCGGCGCCTCCTGGGAACCCGCGGCCAGGCCGGAGGGAAAACGGGAAGCCTGAGGTGCAGAATTAGGGGGCCCCAGGGCGAGGGTCTAGGCGCCCCGCCCGCGCCCAGTTGTGGGGTGTTGGTTCCTCGAGGCGGAGACCCTGCTGCCCCTCGGGGTCCCGGCGTCTCCTGAGGCCCGGCCAGCCCGGCCTGGGGTCCACCCGCGCGGCCTCGCTCCCCCCACCTCAGGGACCGCGGTCACCGCGCGGGCTCGGGCGACCCCCGCTGGCTGCGCAGGCTCACTGCGTACTCGCCCCGTCAGCACCTTGGGGAGAGGCCCAGCAGAGGCGGCCCCCTACAAGCCGCCGCCCGGACCAGGACAGCGGGGACACTGCCACACAGAGGACAACTGGAATAAATCTTAAAGTGATTTTTATTATGTTACCCATAATTCATTCTTGTGTTATGGCTGAATTTAGGGCCTATATCATTTAATAATACTTCAGGTTAAAAATAATAAATAAATTTGAAAGCCTTAATAGGAAGCTGGTTTGCTTGTTCATTTCTGACATCTGACTTCAGGAAAGATTTTTAAAACTTCCAGAATTCATCACTTTGTGCTCCTTCCTCAGACCTGGCTCCACTTCTGGGTTCTTAGGCATACCTTCTCTTAGCTATTCCAGGATCCCCTTTGGCTGTAGCAGTTCTAAGATGCTTTTCCCAAGATAAGAAGAACCTCATTTCTATCATTTCAAGTAAAATTATTCATACTTGTTCCAATTGGACTTTTAAAAATGGTTTATTCATAACCAATCTGTGTGACCATGGAAATGACTGCCCTTATTTGGTTTAAACCAAACAAAATCCATTCCTTAAAGTACAAATTTGAGGTCTTGGGTTAAAGGTGGAGGTGTTCTCCCAAAATCACCTGGAATGTTACTACAAATACATAAGAAAAAAAGAAATGGCAGACAACAAAGTGTCTGTTCCATCCATAAGCATAAATGTACACATCCAGTCCTATTCCTAAGATGGTATGTTGCCTAAATCCTCACCTAATACAGTCCCAGCTTCCGTTATTTGTTATGATTCTAATTCACAAACTTAGGTGTGAAACACATCTCACTTATGGACATCCTCGACATCCACACCCAACTGATTCCGTCTGAGATCACCTAAACTCTAATAGCCCTGATATCAACACTATTCTTGATTATCACTATTAAATGCTTATGTGAATTTCATATCTACTGCTGATATCTTAAATGCAGGTACAACTGACTGAAAAAGAAATGAGAAAAAAACAAAGTTCAGAAACTCAACTGTGCATTCATTCTGTGGTTATCAATGCTTCAAAGACCAAACTAATAGTGCCAGCAAAACAGGGTATTGGAGCAGAACATTAAAATAAAGACTCATCATCAGTCCTCACACTCTCATTCTGTGCATTATAGTGTACATTACTGAAGAGAAAAATGTCCTAAGTAAATTATAAGGTTTTATCCTCTAAATAGCTCATCAGTTTCTTATAAAAATTCTGATAGTTATCAGGAATTGCATCATTTTATGGTAACTACAGATTACAGATTCTATCTGAATGTCCCCACAAAGCCTCTTGCACCCCGATGTGAGGGCTTGAAGAAGGTGATTGGTTAATGGGGATGCTACGCCAGGCTTGGTGTCAGGATGTGGGCCTGGTCAGAAGAGGTGGGTCAGTGCGGGTGTGACCTGGGAGGGTGTATCTTGCTCCCTGGCCCACACTTTACCATGTGCCTCCTGGCCTCCACCAGGCAAGCAGCATTTCTATCAATGTGCACCTCTGACATGCCATCCTGCCCTCCTGGAACTAGGTAACTATGAACTGAAATGTGAGCCAAAACAAACCCCTATTCCCTTAATTTGTAGTGTTGAGTATTGTGTCTCAGGACAATGAGTAATAAAGATTTTGGTACCATTGCTGCGACTGTACCTCACCAGGTGGTTCAGAAGCCTTTGGAAGAAGTTCACAGCAGTTTGGAAAGGTTTGGAGATGCCAGCTGGAGAAGGACCCCTAGAATGCTATAATCAGGGCTTGATGAAAGATTCTGGTCAGAGCTCAGATGGATTGTTGAAGATAAAGACCAGACTTAGGAGATTTCAGTTGAGAAGGAGGATACCACTGGCAGTTGCATCCAGGTGATGTATGTTACCCTCTGGCAGAAAATTTGTCTACATTTTGTTCATATCCCAAGATTTGTGGGAACCTTATAATAATGGTGGAAGAATGATTAATCTGATAGAGAAAATTTCAAGGCAGCCTAAAGTTTAGGTTGTAGTATGGATGCTGTTTGCTGCTTTTGGCCAAGTTTATGCTGAAAATAAGGAGCAACAGGCCATTTGAAAAGTTTTCAATTTCCCCAAAAATAAAGTCCTGTAAAGATGGAGCAAAAGAGAGCTTGGTTAATCAAAGATTACCATTAAAAACAATCCAAGTACTTTACAATAGGACAATAGAAAAGATGCCTTGAAGACATATAAGGAACTAGCAAGGCCCAACCTTTCCAAGGCTGAGAATTGCAAAAGTGACTTTGTTTTGAGAGGATAGCCCCAGGGCATCCTGCTTGAGAAGGGCCTCCTCAGTTGGTTCCCTGGGATTCAGTTCACAGTGCTCAGCCATCCAGGCACATGGAAGCTTCTGTAGCCATGATGCGAAAAGGCCTAACTACTGCTTGGAGCAGGTGGCAGAAATTGGTATCATTCACATGGTGCTATTTTCACAGGTATGCAGAATGCAAGAGTTAGTTCAGGAAGGCATCCACCCAGATTTCACCAGAAGGCCTGGGAGGCCAGGCTGGGTGTTCCTGAGAGGACAGTGCATGAAGGTGTGAGAGTTAAACCAGAGGTATAGTGGAGAACCCAGGGTGTTGGTGAAGTCAGGAACATGGAACACCTGAGTAAAGCCATGCACCCAAACATATAACCCTAGTCTAATCATGAAGAAAACATCAGAAAAACTTAAATTTAGGGACATTCTATAAAATATCTGATCAGTCATCCTGAAAAGTGTCAGCTCATAAAAAACAAAAAAGGAAAAATTATGAAACTGTCAGTCAAGCAGAGTCTAAGAGACATAACCATGAAATGCAATGTGGCAGCCTGGACAGGATTGCAGATGGTTGTCAAAAACAAGGGGGAAATATGGATTTTAGTAATTTACATCAAGATTTCTTCAATACTTGTAAAAGTACCAAGCTAATGTAAGGTACTAATAACAGGAAATAGAACTCTTGTCACCTTAATTTTATAAGAATCTAAAACTCTTATACTATACAACTGTTATTTAAAATATATTTGAATAAGACATTTGCAGTTTTGAAACAGGATGTGAAACAATTTATTTGGAATCACCTTTCTTCTCTACTAACCTATTTCTCTCTCTCTCTCTCTCTCTCTCTCTCTCTCTCTCTCTCTCTCTCTCATTGAATTGCTTGGAATTTTGCACATTATGAGTCATAGGATCAGAATATGGTTTTCCTGAGGCCCATGAGAAAAATCCATAAAAGAAGACTGTGCTAATCTCACAGGTAAGAAGAGGCAGGGTGGGGCTGGAGATTTAGCTCAGTGGTTCTGCCACCTGCCTCACAAGTACAAGGTCCCAAGTCTGATCCCTAGTACCAAAAAAAAAAAAGAAAAGCCAGGGTATCCATGAGAGAGGATCAATTTCCCACAAAGCTAGAAATAGCTGCCTTGTGCTAGATATCATGATGTTCTGAAGCAGGATGTTAAGCAAGTTCAATACATGTGATGCTTACATATATGTTAAATATGTAAGTATATGTATATTATTATAATTTGAGAATATTTGTTTTATCATTATCCCATAGCTAGCTTGAATCAGAACTAAGTTTAACACTTTTTTAAAAATCAAGCTGAACCTTGCAGGGTTTTCTACTTTTATCCTTGAAACAATATATTCTCCCAGACTACATATAGATTTGTTTTTTAGAAAAATTAATACACTGAACATAAAAAACAAACAAAATTAGTACACTGAATTTTCCTGGAGTATGGTGAACTTTTGTGTTATACCTACATATGCTTCTTATCTGTATGTACAGCTTTCTTCATATTTTGACTAGTCTTTTTCTCCACAGAAACATTATTATTATATTTCTAAGTTATAATAGAAATATACCACTTCTCCCAGCTCATAGGAGGTTTCCAAACTGGCATAGAACTGCTCCCAGTGAAGAGGAGGATGCTTTCAGTCTGCCATACCACAGCCCCCAGCATGGAGGCTTCCAGGCTGCCACACTGCCTCTCCCAAAGTGGAGGAGGCTTCCTTGCTGCTGCACCATTGCTTCCAGCTCATAGTAGGCTTCTGAACTGGCACAGAATCACACTATTCAAAGAGAATGGTTTTGGTAAGCCATACAACAGCCCCCAGCATGGAGGAGTCTTCTGGGCTGCTGCCCTGCAGCTCCAATAGTGGAGGAGTTTTCCGGGCCACCGTACCAGTGCTCCCACCTCATAGGAGGCTTCCAAACTGGCATAGAACTGCTCCCAGTGAAGAGAAGGATGCTTTTGACCTGCTGTAACACAGCTCACAGCATGGAGGAGGCTTCCAGGGGGTGGCCCAACTGCTCACCTAGTGGAGGAGGATCCTGGGCCATAGT